ATTTCATAAGAATAGGTATATGAGTTTCTTTCTATATGCCACTTGAGGCGACCAAAGAGAGCGCACTCTGACGAATCAATTTCCCTCCCGCGGTTATCTATGTGCCCATATCCATACATACACTCTCCTTTCTTTATATCTCAATAATAGGCTTAAAACATCATCTTTTCAGTCTTCATAGTCATACAATTCACATTATGGTAGTTTGTCTATTCTTATTTATTTACTATTCCCTAAAGGATAATGAGGCATATGCGAGAGATCTTGCTGAGCAGTATCACTTAGACTCTTCAGCAAGTTATGACAATATCATAGTTGGCTTGCAAAAAGTACTAGAAAACAAACGGGCCAGGCTCCATAAACTTTATAAAATGAAGGCGGGTGCTCAGAAGATCCAGGAGGCGTCCGGAGGAAACATAGCTGCACTTTTGCGTTCTAACACCGGACCCTCTAGTTCAAGCACTAGCCCATCCGATACAGTCGCTGAAAAACGAGGGGGGAAAATCAGTGTAACTGCTGTAATTAAGGAGGTTAACACTGAGGTTCAAGATCTGACGCAAGAGATAGGGGAGCTGGAGACTAATTTGTTGTTGCTAAAACACAACAAGCCCTCTAAGAGTAAGTGCTATATCTTGCTATTTCAGTTAATGAACTTGTTCATGTTTGTCATACAGGTTCACCAGATGATGATTCTAAAAGTTCAAATCCCAAGATTTCCGAACTGCAGCGGGCCCTCGACATAGAGATATCGGTAAATTGCTAGCACTTAGCCATTCATAGGTTCGAAATGGAGCTGAAAAACTTATGCAGACGTACAAAAATGGTCCCCGTCATCTTCTTGAAGAAGCAAAGCGTCAGCAGGAGAACGCAATTGCCAAAATTGGTTTTATTCGTAATCAAATAATCCGTTCGAAGCAACTATCAGAATCTACCCCATTGGTAAGGATTTTTACTTTAATTTATCTTATGGTGCCAAACTCATTTCTTATTAAAATTTTGTATTTTTGAGTTTATTTTATTTGCACTATTTATTTTATGTATCTAACCAATTATCCTGATTTGTTGCATGATATCATTGTACGAATCATTATAGGTTACCATTACTGAAAATAACTAGCCTTTACTGATGTTATCAAAGCAGGGTCACCATTTGGTTTGCATATGTACATATATGTTAGT